TGGGCGCGGTGATAGACACGTCACAGTGCAGGGTATTCCTTTCCCAGGAGCGACTGATCAGCATATCCAAGCTAATCCACCAAATTCAAAAGATCAGGAGAGTGCCCTTGCTACAACTCTCGAAGCTCCTGGGGAAGATGATATCTTGCATGGGCATCATCCCATGGGCAAGGCTCCACTCGAGGGAGTTGCAGTGGTTCCTCCTACCCTACCAGAGGAGGAACCTCAGCACCTCCAGCAGGAGAGTGCCGGTACCAGCACAGGTGATGAAATCACTAAAATGGTGGCTATCCCCCATGACACTCAAGGGGAGCATATTCAGGGAACCGAACAGGGTCACGCTCACGACAGATGCGAGCCTGTTCGGATGGGGAGCCCATCTGGGGACCCAGATAGCACAGGGCCAGTGGGGTCAGAAGGACCTGTCACACAGCATCAACTGGCTAGAGCTCCGGGCCATACACCTGGCCCTCCGTCATTTCTCACACCTAGTAACGAGGAGGCACGTCCTCGTGCTTACAGACAATGTAGCAGCCAAGGCGCATGTAAACAAGGAGGGAGGAACGAAATCAGTGGAACTAATGAAGGAAGCATTGGCTCTGGCTCGGTGGGCAGAAGCCAATGTGAGTTCCATCAGAGCGGAACACATCTCAGGGGAGACAAACACCCAGGCAGACTCCCTGAGCAGAGCCAAGGTGGACCAGTCGGAATGGCGTCTGGACCCGGCTCTCTTCGAGGAGATCTCCCGGAGGTTCGGACAACCGCACCTAGATCTATTTGCCAACCACAAGAACACACAGCTCCCCAGGTTCTTCTCCAGATTCCCGTCCCCGGGATCGGAGGGAACGGATGCTCTCAGGTGCCGGTGGCCGGCGCAACTCCTGTACGCCTTCCCACCACTGCCATTAATACCGGCAACCATACGCAAGATGATCCTGGAGGGCGCAGAAATGGTCTGCATTGCCCCTCACTGGCCACGGCGCCCGTGGTTTGCCGACCTCGTGGACCTTTCGATATCACCTCCGTGGAGGATCCCCCCGGACAAGGTAAAACTCAGTCAGGGCAAGCTTGTACACCCAGATCCCCAGTGGCTACAACTAGCCGCTTGGCATTTGAGCGGCAAAGCTTAACTAAACAATCTTATTCTGCAGGGGTGATATCGATCATACAGGCATCACGAAGAGCGTCCACTAATAGGATTTATGACGCTACGTGGAAGGGATTTTGTAGGTGGTGCGCTTCGCTTCACCTAGACCCGACCGCAGTATCTATTCCCAATATCCTAGATTACCTACTGGAGGGTCTTAATAAGGGCCTGTCAGTCAATACTATCCGCAGACAGATATCGGCCCTCTCAACTGTACTCTCCTGCGACAACTTAACTTCCCTAGCACAGCATCCAGCTATTAATGCCTTTTTAAAAGGGGCATCTAACACAAAGCCCCCAGTCATACACAGGTACCCGTCCTGGAACCTGTCTAAGGTCCTTCTAGCCTTGACATCAGCACCCTTCGAACCTCTTGAAACATGCTCACTCCATCACCTATCACTGAAGGTAGCTTTCCTTGTGGCAATTACTTCAGCAAGAAGAATCTCAGAACTAGCAGCACTGTCAGTAAGGAAGGATCTGTGTACCTTTTTCAAAGACAGGGTCGTTCTTAGACCAGACCCGACCTTCATTCCGAAGGTAAATAGCATCTTTCACAGATCTCAGGAACTTTCGCTTCCTGATTTCTGTCCAAGACCCAAACATAGACTAGAACACAGATGGCACAAGCTGGACGTGCGGAGAGCGCTGTGTTTCTACGTGAAACGCACCTCGGCTTTCCGAAAGACTGAAGCATTATTTGTGTCCTTTCAACCAGCAACTATGGGAAAGAAGGTATCTCCTTCCACCATAGGCAGGTGGATCAGAGCCTGCATAGCGCAGGCCTACGTCTCACAGGATTTGCCAGCACCCACTCAGGTGACTGCTCACTCAACTCGGAGCGCAGCTACATCTGCGGCGTGGCTAACGCAAGCTCCGGTGGAAGAGATTTGCAGGGCCGCAACCTGGTCCTCACCTTCGGTTTTTATTCGACATTACCGTTTAGACTCCCTAGCAGCAGCAGACGCGGCTTTTGGCAGAAGAGTTCTTCAACAAGTCGTATCTGCTCAGAGTTCGGTAGCCTAGACATTCCCTCCCAGGGGGACATGAGGGCTTTGGTATGTCCCATCCATTTGGACTCTACAGCCATCCTGCTGGAGAAGGGGCATTGTCTTACCTGAACGCCTTTTCTCAGCAGGATGATGTAGAGTCCAAGCCCACCCAGAGGATAGGTCTAGGCAGGGTTATAATAAAGATATAATAAAGAGCTGCAAGGTTAATTCCAACAAAGTTTCTCGCCTAAGTCAAAACTGGGGTCACGCCCAAAGGAAGGGGTGTGGCCGAAGTTTTTACCCAGTCTGCCAGGCAGGAAGGCCGTCATAGAACCCATCCATTTGGACTCTACATCATCCTGCTGAGAAAAGGCGTTCAGGTAAGACAACGCCCCTTTTGATTTCCTTTAGGAAAGTTTGTAATAATTGCTTTGCCCCTTCTTTTAACATGAGGCATAGTTAAACAAAAGGAAGGGCTTTGGTGAGAAAGGAGAATTCCATGCAAATTTAATTTTTGACTTTTTTGTTGCATTTATGAGCAGAAATCTAGGCATAAACAATGCCTCTAAATCAGAGAGTCCTCAGTTTGCAACCTTCAGCCAGAGTTTCATTCCGTACAGCTTGAACCTTGTGAACTCTGAAGCTTCCTCCTTCTGTTATATATTCCAGATGGACAGTATTTAATATTTATTTGCTACGTATATGTAGGGGTGTGGAGTCTATACATAGTATGTTTAGGTGTGCGTCATGTATGTGTTTCACTTTGAGAGCGGGCAACTAAATTTCATTTTTTATATGTGCCGTTGTGCCCACAGTAAAAAAAAATGACAATAAAGGTTATCTTATCTTATATCTTATCTTATCTTAGTGACTGTTCTAAGTTAAAGCAGCACTGAAAAAAGTGACGTCTCTGGTCCTCCATTTACAGCCACCCTAGTGTGTCTAAAATCACACGCTCAAAATTTGGGAAAGAGGCAAGTTGGTTGGGAGTGGGTGCGGTTTGGGGGGAAATGGGTGGGCAATACCAAAAGTGGTGTGTATCAATTTGTTTTATTTTTTTATCTGAAGTATTTTTAAGATTATAATGTATTGTAAAATAGAAAATAAAAACTTTATAATAAAAAAAATGTGGGTGCTTGTTGGGCTGTATTGTCAGTTCCACTTATACACATTTGACACCGCAAAGGACATCTGTGGTTGATTAGCAGATCTTTGGTAAGCTGTTATCTGCCATTAATTTACTCTTGGCTTGAATTGAAAGGGTGCAGCGAGGACTTGCCGAGAGGGGGGGGGGCGTGTGTGTGTGTGTGTGTGTGTGTGTGTGTGAGAGAGAGAGAGAGAGAGAGAGAGAGAGAGAGAGAGAGAGAGAGAGAGAGAGAGATTTTGCAGGGTAGGTGGGAGAATTATGGCATATAAAGATACCACAGCCTAAAGCAGTTTTGTGTCTTCGCCTCTCACTTTCACAACTGATTTGGCTGGCCTCGGTCCATGAATAATATAAATTGTTGGCAATTGGGAGAAAGTAGACAGTGCTGCTGCAAAGATGGATCTCAAGTAAATGTTCTTAGTTCATCCCATCGGTGTAGAATTCCATCTTTATGGAGGGTTTAAGACAGGGGTTCTCAACCTTGGCAACTTTAAGACTTGTGGACTTTGCTGGCTGAGGAATTCTGGGAGTTGAAGTCCACAAGTCTTAAAGTTGCCAAGGTTGAGAACCCCTGGTTTAAGAGGTCACGTAGAACTGGGGCCTGTTCACTCCCAAATCCTTGTTCACATCTGATCCTTACGATTTGGGAGTGAGGCCGTGAAGCCTCCATCAACTTAAAGAGACCCAGTGGCCAAATATTTCTCTTAAGTGACAGTGCGATCCCTGGATCATCTTCTAAGGAAGAGGTCCTCAACCTTGGCAACTGGAAGATGTGTGGACTTCATTTCCCAGAATTCCCCAGAATTCTGGGAATTGAAATCCACGCATCTTCCAGTTGCCAAAGCTGAGAAACACTGTTCTAAGATGAAAGACACCGTTGAACTTTCTCGGGAAGAGCGAAAATCTGGCCGCGTTAAAACAGAAACACTAGGATTTTTTTTTTGTTACAAATATGTTTTTAAAACGTTTTCTGGGGTAATTGCTCAAGTGCAGTTTGGAAATGGATACGGTCTCGAGATTTCTCACTTGGTTCCATTTTGATCCAAAAAAGGTTTTGAGAAATACAAAGTTCATTATAACAAGAGGGGTGAGACAATCTGTTGTTACACAAATGGCGTCAAGGTCTCTTTTCACAGTGTCACGTCATTTATTATTCTATATTCACTGTTATTCTGAATTTGTCTAACACAATCATTAAGTAAATTATGTTTATGGGGGCGGAAAAAACCCAGTCCATTTTACAGATAGTCCTTCACTTATGACCATAATAATCATACTCATTATGGACACGTGTCATGATGATCATAGACCACCCATGAAACTAACCTGATATTTTATTTTTTTTTTTTTTTGCAGTGCTCAGTAAGCAAATGCATTTATTAAGCGAACGCGGCAGTTGCTAAGTGAACTGTTGTTTCCTATTGGGAGTTTTTGTCGCAAAGTGGAAATAAATGCTGATTTTCAGCAAAAAAAACCATCCTAAATTGGGGTCACGTGACTGCGAGTTGGTTGCAGTCATGTGACTGCAGGGGAGGGGCTTGGGGAAACTTCAGGTCATAAGTATTTCTTGGATGGGTCCTCATGACCTTGGTCACTAAATGGCTGTCATAAGTCGAGGACTTCCTGTAATTCAGGCCTGCTAATCTCTTTCCGTCCAAACGCTGGCCTTTTTGTGAGAATTAACCTTCGGTATTCTCTCTGTTTTGTCTCCTAGATTCCCAAGTGCTACAGGACCCCGGGGATCTGTCACACTGGTGCGTGGTGGCCTATTGGGAAGAGAAGACCCGCGTGGGGCGCCTGTATTCGGTCCAAGAACCTTCCCTGGATATCTTTTACGATCTACCTCAGGGGAACGGTTTCTGCCTCGGACAGCTCAATTCGGACAATAAGAACCACCTGGTGCAGAAGGTCCGAGCCAAGATTGGCTACGGCATCCAGTTGAGCAAGGAAGCCGACGGAGTATGGCTTTACAACCGCAGCAGTTATCCGATTTTTATCAAGTCGGCCACACTGGACAACCCGGATTCCAGGACGTTGTTGGTTCACAAGGTGTTTCCGGGCTTCTCCATCAAAGCGTTCGATTACGAGAAAGCGTACAGCTTGCAGCGGCCCAACGACCACGAATTCATGCAGCAGCCTTGGACCGGTTTCACGGTGCAAATTAGCTTTGTAAAAGGTTGGGGCCAGTGCTACACAAGACAGTTCATCAGCAGTTGTCCGTGCTGGCTGGAGATTATTTTTAATAACCGATGACTTCCCGAGACCCCAACCGCAGGCCTTCCCGAGCTTGGCTCCTTGAGGAAGAGCGGACTTCAGCTCCCAGAATTCCATCCTGCCAGCAAGGGGTTCTGGGAATCGGAAGTCCCCCCCCTTCTTCCAGGGGCCAAGCTCCGGGAACCGCTTGCTCCCCAGTGACATTTTATAATGACTTTGCTGCTAAAACGGTTCCTTTTGAGTGCTTGCTATGGTGTGCAAACGTTTTTTGTTTGTTCTGTTTTGAGAAATAGCTTATGGGAAGATTTTCTTTTCTTTCTCCCTCCCTCCTTTTCTCTGTCTTTTTATTTTGGGGTGGGGTGGGGTGGGGGTTTGATTTGGACATACTTTTTGAAACGTGGAGGACCGACAACGCAGAAGGAGAGGAGAGTCCCAAGGAGGTTGGGGAAGGTGTAAGTTGGAGGTGGTGACAGAGAGGACCCTTCAGTTTCTTTTTCAATTGTGATTCAATCAATCCTTAATGAGCAGGAGTTGCAAGTTGCCACCTTCACAGCTTGAATTCAGGCTGCGTTCTCTTTCTTGCCTCCCTTTGTGACGGCTCACGCGTTTCTGTCCAGAAGAATCCTGCCTTCCCCCTCCCCCCCCGTCAAATACACACCTTCTTTGCACACTTGGCACGTTATGCCTATTTTCAGCAGACCTTCTCAATCCACACTTATAGAAGTGCCACCAATACACCAAGATCTGGTTTCCTTCAGTGACCATAGATAGAGGTCGGTCTGGAATTTCATCGGGCTTGCAAGGGGATTGGTCGAACAGATTCCTGCAAGCCGTGACCGGTCGTCCTCGTCTTAACGACCATTCGTTCAGTGACCGGTTGCAAAGTGTGATCCTGGGATTCCCCTTTGGCAAAGCCAATGGGGGAAGCCGGATTCGCTTAACAACCAATGCTACTAACAAGAGCCGATTCACAGGGTTTCCTGCCTGAGCAGGGGGTTGGACTAGATGACCTCCGAGGTCCCTCCCAACTTTATTATTATTATTATTACTTAGCAACCGTGGCAAGAAAAATCACAAAATGGGCCCAAACTCGCTTAAAACTGTCTTGCTTAAGGACAGAAGTTTGTGGGTCTTAAAGGTCATGGTCGTAAAGCCGAGGACCACCTGTATTTCGTTCTAGAACCATATAATGGTTCTGCATCATAATCTGTCCTCTTTAACCCCTCCAAGATCCCTTTCTTATGAAAACTTTAAACCACGTGGATCTCTGTACGTTGCTGCAAGTCGCCCCATCTGTTGCAAGAGAAAGGGAGCTGAGGTTTAAGAAATACAAATAAATTAAATAAATCAAACCGGCCACTATTGAGGAAGGTCAGGCAGAAGGGGTGCCTGGTTCTGGGCACAATAATCAAAGAGTTTATTCTGCAGAAATGCAGAATTTTAGCCAACAGCGTGCAAATAAGGCGTCTTTCTTCCCTTCCTCTCTTACTCTATCTACCTGAAACTCTCAACTCTTTTGACTGACCTTATGGATGGAAAAGAAGAAGAAGCTGCACGCATTTGGGAAAGAAATTGCCATTTTTCCGGGCTTGGCTATCACAATGCCTGTAAACCCTACGCCACACCCCCCCCCCAAATAATAATATTATTTGGTCTGGGCTTTTCAAATGGATTTGCAGCGTTTGTATCCCATCTTCTCTTTTCAATGGACAAAGCTGATTTTCAGTATTTACTCCCTGTCCCTTATTTTGATCCAATTTAAAATAATAACTGTTTGCATCCAGAAGCTGCAGTCATTTGGTTAGTACGGGGTAGGTAACCTTGGCTCTTTTAGGACGCGTGGACTTCAACTCCCAGAATTCCTGAGCCAGCATAGCTGGCTCAGGAATTCTGGGAGTTGGAAGTCCACGCGTCCTAAAAGAGCCAAGGTTGCCTACCCCTGGATTTAATATGTTAGTATTTTTCTTCAATTCATACACTTAGTATGATAATTTTACACTGTTCTTGGCTCAGTGAGCACATTTAGACCTTAACATAAGCTATTTTTCTAAAAGCAAAAAAGGAATAAGTGAAGAAAAAAAAACATCATCCTGGGAATTTTAGCATTGAAGTGCTTTTTTGGGGGGGGGGGGAGAAATAAAAAAATAACAACAGACTTCTTTTTTAAAAAAAACAAAAACCCTGAGATTTATTAAAGAAAAAAATGTATTTTATGTTATATATAAATATATTATTACTTGTAAATACAAAGACGTTTTATAAGCATCATTATTTATGTATTGTGCAATGTGTATAAACCAGAAAAATAAGAAAAGATGCACTTTGCTTTAATATAAATGCAAATAACAAAATGCCAAATTAAAAAAGAGAGAGATAAAAATTTAAGGATTGGTGGCGGTTTTTCTCTTATGGGTAGCCTGTGCTTGAAAGGGCAATGGTCTGGTTGGGAAAAAGGCTAGGTAACTCTGTGTGTGTGTGTGTGTGTGTGTGTGTGTGTGTGTGTGTGTGTGTGTGTAAGAGAGAGGGTTATTTCCAAGGATTTCCATTTCTCAACCTAGAAAACATCAATGTTGTAAACCAGGAGTCTTCAAACTCGGCCCTTTTATGACTGGTGGACTTCAACTCCCAGAATCTAAGTCGGCCATTTTGATGAAAATCCAGAGCAGTGGTCTTCAAACTCGGCCCTTTTATGACTGGTGGACTTCAACTCCCAGAATTCCTAAGTCGGCCATTTTGATGAAACGGCGGGCTTGGATCCAGAGCAGTGGTCTTCAAACTCGGCCCTTTTATGACTGGTGGACTTCAACTCCCAGAATTCCTAAGTCGGCCATTTTGATGAAACGGCGGGCTTGGATCCAGACCAGTGGTCTTCAAACTCGGCCCTTTTATGACTGGTGGACTTCAACTCCCAGAATTCCTCAGTCAGCCATTTTGATGAAACAGCGGGCTTGGATCCAGACCAGGGGTCTTCAAGCTTGGCCCTTTGATGACTGGTGGACTTCAACTCCCAGAATTCCTCAGTCAGCCATTTTGATGAAACTGTGGGCTTCAATCCAGACCAGGAGCCTTCAAACTCGGCCCTTTTATGACTGGTGGACTTCAACTCCCAGAATTCCCTAGCCAGGCACGCTGACTGAGGAATTCTGGGAGTTGAAATCCACAAGTCTTAAAGTGGCCAAGTTTGAGAACTCCTGGTTCAAAGTCACAACGGCACTGAAAAAAGTGCACTTACGACCATTTTTCACACTTAATGACCATTACCGCAGCATCCCCATGGTCACGTGATCAAAATTTAGACGCTTGGCAACTGACTCGTGATAGTTGCAGCGTTGTGGGGTGTGTGTTTGTGTGTCACCTGATCCCTTGTTGTGACCTTCCGACAAGCAAAGTCAACGGGGAATCCAGATTGACTTAACCAGGTTACTAACTTATTCACTTAACAACTGGGGCAAGAAATGTCATAAAATGGGGCAAAACTCACTTAACACTTGTCTGAGCAACAGGAATTTTGGATTCAATTGTCATCAGTTGAGGCTTACCTGTATCCAGAAAAAAAAATCTTATTTTTTTGTGGCAAGACTTTGCCCCACCCCCAATTTTTCTAAGAAAGCGGGGACCTAAATACTAATGCTGCTTTTGCAAAGGAAGCACAGAGTCGTAAGGCAGTTGCTCAAGGTTTATAGTCTGCAATTCTTTCTAAAACTCCTGGGCCAACAGGAAGATAACCTTGATAAGGCTGTTTTCAGGGCAGTTCCCAGCCCAGCTTTGAAATGCAAGAATGCATTTGCTTTTCCCTCTGGGGGGTCGGCTGACATTTATGTTCAGAAGGGAAAAAAATTCAGCTCCTGACTTTTTGACCTGGAGATCGGTGGCATCCACAAGGCTGCCAAACACCAGGGCTGTAAAGGTGTCCCACTGCACAATAAACCTGCGTAAAGGACAAACGAGGTCAGCCGGATTTAAGAGCAGTTGTGTTTTCCTGTTGTTCATTCTCCAGCAAAGTCTCCAGCGCTTGTCCCGGTTATAATTAAAGGACTAAATGTCAGTTTAGCGCAGGGGTTCCAGGCACCAGGTAAGTTAACCTGGAGATTTCGTCCGGCCTGAGGCACGAAGCCAGCTGAGTTATTTGGGGCCAGGCCCTGCCCTTCCAGCCCTAGGAAGGGCAAAAGAGGACGGCAAACAACTTTTGGACAGGTTGCCAAGAAAACTGCCGGGACTTATCCAGGGGTCCAGCCTGATCGGGAGGCGCCAAAATAGCTAACTAGCACAGAGTAATTAAACGGCACAATTGTAAATAAAGAGCTGTGGTGCCGCAGTGGCTAGAATGCAGCTATTGCAGGCTAACTCACTGCTCACTGCCAGGAGTTTGATCCTGACGGGGCTCAGGACTCCGCCTTCTGTCCTTCCGAGGTCGGTAAAATGAGGACCCAGATGGTTGTGGAAAGAGGCTGACTCTATAAACAGCTTAGAGAGGGCTGTAAAGCACTGTGAAGCCGGATATAAATCTTAAGTGCTATTGTTATTGCCCTTCCTTCCTCTCTGAAGGCCCAGTGGTTAGAATGCGGTACTGCAGGCTAACTTACTCCTCACTGTCGTCAGTTCGATCCTGACTGGTTCAAGGTTGAGTCAGCCTTCCGAGGTCGGTAAAATGAGGTCCCAGATTGTGGGGGGCAAATAGGCTGACTCTGTAAACCGCTTAGAGAGGGTTGCAAAGCACTGTGAAGCGGAATATAAGTCTAAGTGCTATTCTTATTGCCCCTCCCTCCCTCCCTTCCTTCCTTCCTTCCCTCCTCCCTCCCTCTCTGAAGGCTCAGTGGTTAGAATGCGGTACTGCAGGCTAACTTACTCCTCCCTGTCAGCAGTTCGATCCTGATCGGCTCAAGATTGACTCAGCCTTCCGTCCTTCCGAGGTGGGTAAAATGAGGTCCCAGATTGTGGGGGGCAAATAGGCTGACTTTGTAAACCACTTAGAGAGGGTTACAAAGCACTGTGAAGCGGGATATAAGTCTAAGTGCTATTGTTATTGCCCTTCTTCCCTCCCTCCCTCCCTTCTTTCCTTCTTTTCCTTCCTTCCTTCCTTCCTTCCCTCCCTCCTCCCTCCTTCCCTGAAGGCGCAATGGTTAGAATGCGGTACTGCAGGCTAACCTACTCCTCACTGTCAGCAGTTCGATCCTGATGGGGCTCAAGGTTGACTCAGCCTTCCGTCCTTCCGAGGTCGGTAAAATGAGGACCCAGATTGTGGGGGGCAAATAGGCTGACTCTGTAAACTGCTTAGAGAGGGCTGCAAAGCACTGCGAAGCGGCATATAATTCCTAGTGTTATTGCTATTTATACAATTTGTACGACCACCTCACTCGCTCAGACTCTGGGTGGTTTATAGAAATGAAACCCGAATACAAAACTCAGTAAACAACCTTGCTGATAACCATCAAACTAACCACTTGACGGGCTCCAAAAGGTCCTTCTTGGTCCCCCTTAGAGGGGACCCATCACATACCCTGTGTCCCCACTCTTGTGGGTCCTCCAAATGAAGTTGACCTCGCGTTGATGTCCCATTTCCCTCAGCTACAAGTCAACAAATAGTACAAACAGAAGATGAGCCGAGGTGGCGCAGCAGTTAGAGTGCTGTACTTTAGCTGACTGTGTTCAGCAGGTCAGCGGTTCAAATCTCACCGGCTCAAGGTTGACTCAGCCTTCCATCCTTCCCGGGTAGGTAAAATGAGGACCCAGATTGTTGGGGGCAATGTAAATATATATATACATTGCTTACTGGTGTACACCGCTTAGAGAGTGCTTGCACTTAAAGCGGTATATAAGTCTCATAAATAAATAAATAAATGCAAACTTAGTCATTTAATACGAAAAAAGTCACTTGACCAAACAATCGTAGGGGTAGTCCTGGGCTCACTATTCATTTAGTGAGCAGTTGTTAAGTCGCAGTCAATAAGTTAGTAAGTTGGCCAACAAATTTGGCTTCCCCATTGACGTTGCTTGTCAGGTCGTAAAAGGGATCACACGACCCTGGGCCATAGCAAAGGTCATAAGTATGAAGCAGTTGCCAAGCATCTACATTTGGATCCCATGCTGCAGAGGTCGTAACTATGAAAAACGGTCACAAGTCACGTTTTTTTGGTGCCGTGGTAACTTTGAGCAGTCACTAAACAAACAGTTGTAATTGGAGGACTACCTGTATTTATGACGGGTGCGGGATCCCAGGGTCATGTGATCACGTTTTGTGACCTTTTGACAAGCAAAGTCAATGGGGGAGCCAGATCCACTTAACAAGCGTGTTGCTAACTTAAGAACAACAGCGATTCACTTAACAACCGTGTCAAGAAAGGTCATAAAATGGAGCAAAACTCACTTCACAACGATTTTACTTAGCTATGGGAATTTGGGGCTTTGTCAAGGACTAGAATTAGAATGAATAGAATGGAATGGAGTAGAATAGACTAGAATAGAATAGAATGGAATGGAGTAGAGTAGACTAGACTAGACTGACTAGACTAGACTAGACTAGACTAGACTAGACTAGACTAGAATAGAATAGAATAGAATAGAATAGAATAGAAAAAAGAAAATATGGAATAGAGTAGAGTAGAATAGAATAACAAATTATGGAATAGAATAGAATAGAATAGAATAGAATAGAATAGAATAGAATAGAATAGAATAGAATAGAATAGAATAGAAGCTGGAAGGGATCTTGGAGGTCTTCTAGTCCAGCCCCCAGCTCAAGAGAACCATTTCAGACAAGTGACTGTCTAGTCTCTTCTTAGAAAGCTCCAGTGATGGAGCACCCACAATTTCTGGAGGCCAGGTGTCCCACTGGTTAATCATTCTCACTGTCGGGAAGTTTCTCCTTAATTCCAGGTTGCTTCTCTCTTTGGTCAGTTTCCAACCATTGTTTCTTGTCCTGCCCTCTGGTGCTTTGGAGCAGGGGTCTTCAAACTTGGCTCTTTTATGACTTGTGGACTTCAACTCCCAAAATTCCTCAGCCAGGCATGTGTGCCTGGCTGAGGAATTCTGAGAATTGCACAAGTCATAAAAGGGCCAAGTTTGAAGACCCCTGCTTTGGAGAATAGCTTGACTCCCTCTGCCTTGTGGCAGCCCCTTGGATACTGGAATGCTGCTATCCTGTCTCCCCTATTTCTTCTTTTCTTTAGATTGGCCAAACCCAAGTCCCGCAGCCGTTCTTTGTATGCTTTAGTCTCCAGGCCTTGGATCCTCTTAGTTGCTCTTCTCTGCACTTTTTCCAAACTCTCAACATCTTTTTTGTAAAGACTGGCTGTAGGGACATCCCATTAAGCCACCTTTGCTTGATCCAGGTTTCTTTATTTTGTGACTCGCTCAATGAACTAAAGCAAGGCATAGCACGGGTCATT